TTATTCTTCTGGCTGTGACATTCATGTGAATGAGCTTTTGTTTGTGTACTTATTTTAAATAATCAGTAAATCTATTAAAATGTAGAATGTTCCCAGGGATTTTAATGCACAAGCCACACTGTGACAATAGATGAGCCTCCATACTGTAAATAAGAGAAATGAAGGAAAAGAGAAATGTTAAATATTTTATGTTAGAGTCTACTAAATAAAAGGTGATGTAAACACTGCACCAACTGTGTTCATGATACTTTTAGTAGTACTTTAGGACAAATTATATTTTCGGAAGCTACTGATGTCACTAATTAGGAGGGAAAATTGTTAATGAGAACAGGCATAAATTTGTAGTATATTGCAAGAACAGCCTGTGGATATAATCACTTGAGTAACTTTGTGGTGATTTGTGCCCTTGCTTTTTATTTAAAGAAATTTTTATAATTAAATGCATTTTTCTAAGTTATTGTCTCTTGGAATTATTACTTTTAACCCTATGTGCCTTTTAAACTGACAAATGAACTGTTTTTGTTATTAAAAAGTCACATCTACTCATTGCTCCTGTGTAATTTTTAAATTTGGAAGATGTAGGATATAAACTTATCTCCTTCCTTGGATTTTTTTTTTCCCTTCTTGCAAATTGCTTTACTTTCAAAATACTGTTGTTTGACACTACAAATTTCTCAGCAAAATGTTTTAATAGTTTGAAATAGTAAATAAGAAGCACTTAACATGTTTAAAGGTCCACTTGAGTAAAATAAGTAAATGGTTTACTACAGCATACGGAAACTGATTTTCATTCCATTTACTACCCAACCAGGGGGAGCAGGTTTTTGATCATGAAAAAGGAGATTTTGGTAAAGTAATTAAAATATCATTTTAATTTGCCCTTCCTAGAACTCACGATCCAACCAAATTTGTTGGCATTAAAATCTCTCACACAAATCTAAAGATGAGAAGTTTGATAGCTTGGAGCCTTAAGTGTAAATGTTCTGGTCATCCCATATGCTTTACTGCGTTTTTTTTTGTGGGGGGGGCTTACTATTGTAAATATCACAGTAGATTTGTCTGTGTGAGGGAAAATAACAAATATATTAGCCTTTGAGTCTCAAACATTTCAACTCTTACAGAAGTTGCCAGTGCAAAGTAGAAGAGCCATGTGTATAGAAGATTGGTGCCCTGTAAAGATTTTGGTGATGCCTTTTTTTTTTTTCTGAAGAGGTCCTGTAATTCTTTTCACTTACACTTCAATGTGTATTTCTTTGCTTAATGTTGCTGAGAATTCACTGTTAGTTCCTGGTTGACTCGCTTTGGGGAAAGCAGTTTATTTTACTGACTTCACTGGATATTTCACTATTGTTCCCCAGTTTTTGTTAAAATTGTTTTTGCACTTTGTTCCGATTTCTCACCCACTTGTCAGTAGGTGGCAGTATTGGTCAGGAATTCCTTTGAATTTGAAATATGGGAAATTCAAAGAAATGAACCCAAGTTCATAGGTAAGTAGCCGAGACTCATTCCCAGGCATTTGCAAGGCAGTTTGGCAACAATACTGGATCTCTTGGGTTGATTACCCTTTCTAAAATAATTAATAATTGTCAGTTTCTATGTTCAGCTTATTGCTTTTATCCTTAACCCATTGTGTGTGGGGGTGGGGTGGAGGTGTTATCTCAGAATTTGGCTTTTGTCAAATGTCTATTTCAAGCACAGAAGGATTATTACAAGAAGCAAGGCTGAAAACCAGAACAGTAAGAGGAAGGGTGTCTAAGGAAAGGTCTAACATGTTTAGTATACATAGTTCTTCATTCAGATGCTTATTAGACACCTAGGTATGTATATGCTAAGTATATTGATAAATACATCAGTGAACAAAATAATAAAAGCCCCAATCCCATTGAGTTTACACTTTAGTGTGTTGAACAATAAGTAAATTATGGGGTATGTTGAAAGGTGGAAAGTGCAATGGAGACAAAATGCGCAGGGTGGATGGGATGAAGTGGAGGGATGGGCACGTTACGTATTGAACGTAGTGAGTTGCCATATTGATATCTGGAGGAAGAACATTCTAGGAAAAGGAAACATTTAGAGCCAAGTTCCAAAGCAGAAGTGTGCCTGACTTGGCAAAGGGTGGCAAGAGCAGATACAGGGCCCTTGAAAGCAAAATGGTGATGTCAAAGAGGGGAGGTTAGGGTAGGGGATAAGACCATAAGAGCCTTAATTAGGATGATGGTAACTTAAGGTTCAAATCAGGTCCCATCAGAGTAAATGGCAGTGTTGTTGAGGGCAGGAGTTGCCAAGTGACAAGAAGTGGTCATCACTCCTCATGGTGAAGGTGGAGAGGTACAGGGTTTCTGGTTTGACAGAACAAGAATGCATTTTTAATCAAGGTTTGCCACAGGGGTTTTGACCTGAGCAATTAGAAGGATGGAATTTCCAATAAATAGAGAAGGTTTATCAGATATTCTGAGGGATGTCTCTGTTGGACATCCAAGTGTCAATGACCTGGGAGTTACATGAGAAGTTCAAGAGGCAGGTCTGGGTCAAAGTCATGGCCATGCATGTGGGATTTAACTTAAGTTGTGGCCTATATGAGATCACAAAGGGAGAGTGTGATATAGGAGAGAAATCACCAAGAACTAAGCTCTGGAGCTACCCAACATCAGAGGCTGGGAGGAAAGGGGATCAGCAAAGAGATGGAGAAGTGACTTGGAGGCAATTAAGGTTATGACATCATAATGTGCCCTAAGCAAGTGAGGAAGGGCACTGAGGAGCAGGGAATAGTTACGTCAAAGGCTACTTGTAACTCAAATGAGATGAGGGCTGGGAATTGACCACTAATCTTACTGACCTTGCTGAACAGCTAGGTAAAGTTATGGGACCTGTGATAGGGAGTCAAGAGAATGGCAGAAGAACTAAAGACTGTGGATGCTTCTTACAAGGAATTCTGCTTCTACACAGGGGAGCTAATAAATGAGGCACAAACAAAAGTAGAAGATGTTCTTATTGCCCAAGTTTTGGGGGGATTTATACATTTAAGTAATTTTTGAGAAGAGCCAACATAGAAAATGAAGCAAAAGTCAACCTGGTCCAAGATCACACAAGTTAGTCCAGTGTCTAATTTGTATATCAGTTTACTAGAATTAAATATCTATCTAAAGGATCAGCAGCATATTCAATAAATGAATATTTTTATTAGAGTTTATTAGGATCAATATTATCACCTCAAAATGTTATTTTAGTGTATTCTTTGCCCCTCAAAGTAAGAAAAGATTGAACAGATGACAAACACAGGGTATTCAGGGAGATGGGTGGTAGCTGTTTAGAATAGCAAGCCCTTTCCTCCTCTGGTGATTCTGATAGCATCTCCCATAAACATTCCTTCCTTGAAGTGGCAAGTCACTTCTGGGATGTTTGAGGACTGTCCTTTATTTTGCTCTGGTCATTGGTTCCAATGCCACCTATGCTACCTGGAAACCAGTGGCTGTGTCTCCTCCTTGGAGGATCTGGGGCACCACAATAATTCCAGAAAATTTGTACTCTAAACAGCATTTGTTTCATTTAAAGTAAAAACTGGCAGAAGGGACAGAATTCTCTCCCTGCATCTCAGACCAGGAGACCCAGCAAGAAAACAAAGCCTTACTCAGTTCATGTTGCACTCTTGATCACTTCTGGGATGATCCTGGGCACCTGGTGTTGGCTACTACTGCTGATAGAGGTCCCACTTCATTGTTAGTTTTTCTGAGTCCCCAGTTTTTCAAATTTCACATTTAATTAATATTAAAGAGCAATGATTTTATCTCCCCATCCTCCAGTACTGGGGATTCAGCCCAGAGGCGCTATACTCCCAGCCTTCGTAAAATTACCTTTTGAGATAGGATCTTACTGAGTTGCCCAGGCCGGTCTTGAACTTGTGATCCTCCTGCCTCAGCCTCCCAAGTCACTGAGTAACATGTGTGCCAGCATACCTGGCTTCCTTCCATTTCTGGTGGCTTGGAATATGGACTTGGCATCAGTTTCTCTTTTCACACGAGTCGAAGTGTTTTGGAGGATCCTTGGCTCTGGTCAAAAGGGTTTCAGAGGAAACATGAGACTCCTCCATATAACCATTCCTTAAACTCCTTAAACGTTTTTTTTGAAGGGGCTCAAGAGTTGTTTTTCACACGTTACTGCATATTGTAGAAGGGAAACATCCATCTTTAGCATTTGTACCTGGAGATAAGACACA